AAGCCCTGGCCAGAATTATCTACATTGTGTTGTGTTCTTGGGCAAGACACTTCACTCTCACAGTGCCTAGGCCTCTCTCCACCCAGAAGAATAAAATAATGGGTATCAGCGATCTGTTAGGCTAATATGAGAGAATGCTGAGGAGCAACTTGTGATAGACTAGCATCCCATGATTCCCATCTACGGGGGTGGGAAGGGAGCAATACAGCTCTAGCTGCTTTATACTACTGAAAGAAGGGTTGCAATGTAAACACGGAGAGCTACAAGTATGATTGTCAAGCCATTTGAACTAAAAACTACAAGTGTAAGGCATTGATAGTTTTACTCGCAAAATCTACTTGTACACTGCACATGTAACTCAAGAAGACATTATCGGGGGATAAATCCTCCCTCCATCCATTGCCCACTCTAAACACTTGATTTTGGAAAGAGCAGCTTCCTCTGCAGTTTAGACATCGTTCTCTGTCCCTCATGGTAATCCAACTGGGTGTTTGTACTCTCAGTCGCCATTCCCTCTGGCACAGTGATGTTACTACTACTTGCTCCGGTTTTGGTTGTAATACATGTAAATGCTTTTTTATTTGAGGGGGTTATAAGCACTCTGCCCAACCTCCAACCTGCAGGGCTGGTATGTTTTCTGTTTATTTCTGCAAACTGGATTTAGGGCATCAGCAACCCGCCCTCGCATCTCCAGAATATGGCATACACTGTTAAAGTAGCAGTCCTGCAACAGGCATGCTCTTGGTAGAAGCTTGGTTAGGACAGTCTATTTGAGATGGGAGCGGCCAGTCAGAGCATTTTGAGGGTTATGTGTAGGAGATTATCCCAAATTCTACCCTGTGGCTGATCCTAACCCATTTTACGTGTAGAACAGGATAACGTTTAAATCTGTGAAACTTCTAGGCATTTTCCCAACAATACTGTCCCAAATTTCTGCATAGCCTGCTAAAGCAGTGATTCGACTGATAACAGGTGTCAGGGTATTAATTTTTTTTCATAAAATTAGGTAAAAAATTAGGATTTCATTCATTTTTTTTTTGCCACAATATTTTTTAACATGTTAACTTTGTGATCCTGTTCCATTATCATCCTGATGGCTATCAAGGAACCATCAACAGCAGGTAGATGCATCACTCCCAAAGGCACAAGCGAAAGGAAGGGCATTTTAAAGGAAGGCATATCAAACAAACCTAATCTTCCTGGGTCACCGCTATCAAAAAGTGGAAGTTATCTGAATACTCTGGAGAAATCAAAGTTCCAAAATGATGGCTTGGACTTTCACTGCTCGTTTGAAACTGACGGAAGCTCTGAGCAGGATATTGACATTCCCTGCACCCAACCAGTATCACACGACAAGATACTTGAAGGTACAATTATTCACACAATGTTATTACAGTATAAAAAGGTCTTGCACAGTTAATGCAGGGGCTTCATTAGCGTTTTCAGCAGGGGGGGGGGGCAACTGGTTTTCATGGGTGGGCAAAACCTTTTTGAATTGAACTTCTTTATGAGAAAAACTTTCCTGTAGGTGGTCAAACATGGCAAGCAAAATCATCCTCACAGCCACTCAATTTGCCTGGTGCTTAGACAGCTCAGCTCTTAATGAAACCCCTGCTAATGACTTGTGACTAACAAGGTTTTTAAACCAACAATTAGAAAGAGAGAGATCTTTCTTGTAAATGTAAATTAAGTAATTTGAATTGAATATCCAGAAACATATACATGTAGATGTTCACTAGTCTCCTACATTTACAGACTGCTCAAAGTCACATTAAATGCTCCCTATCTCCTCCGCTGTAGCTTTACACTGACATACATTCTTTTCCTTTTGTTTGCCATATATTTGTTGGACCAATCGGGGTCTAGTTATTGTATAATGTACGGTACATGTATATGTATACACTGCACCAATCACAGCATAGCTTGCCCCTAATGCCGTCCTCATGTTTTCTTTTTCTGGGAAAACCCTGACTGTCCATTGATTGGAAGACATTTTTGGTACAAACCTCAACTGCAGGGTAGTGAAAGTGGGACTGTGATTGAATTATTCAAGAAAGGAATATATAATTATGTATTAAACAGTTTGAAGTAGCCATGTGGGGATGGGGAGCTTTGTATGACTTTGGCCTGAGCAGATGTAAAGAAGACTTGGTGTCCACTTAGTAATACACCTTGATTTATTAGGGGGTTTCAATGAGGGCCAGACACTGGGCAAATTGGCCATCTGTGAGGATGATTTTGCCCGCATGGTCTGACCATCTAGGGGAAAGATTTTCTGATAAAGAAGTCCAGCTCAAAAAGTTTTGCCCGCCTGTGTAAACCAGTTGTCAGATGTTTCATTAATTAACATTTTCAGCAACAGGGCAACTGGATGTCACAGGCAGGCAAAATTTTATCCTCTGTAGATGTTCAAACCAGGCGGGCAAAATCATCCTCTCAGCCAGTCAGTTTGGCCGGTGCCCAGCCCTTAATGAGGCCCCCGAGCTGCCCTGCTGCTGAAAACATTTTGCCAAATCCCCTGAATTATTGACAGGAGTCTCTACCTAAACGAAGTGAAATACATGTACATGACACATCTTAGTGTATAATCATCAGTGAAAATTAAAGTAATAAATTTATTTCCCACATTTGTAGGTGTTGTTGCATTCATTGAGGCACGTTCCAACACTGAAAACAGATTTGAAGGAATCTCAAAACAGATGGAAATGCTGGGAGCAACAGTAAGTCACATACTGCAAATTCAAAACTGCGACAACCCTTGTTACATTCTATTTCAGCAGCCTTTTCCAATGGTTGCTTTTGGGGCTCGTCCACTTTTGGGTGTTTTAAAGTATACTGCATACATGTATGGAACAAGTTATTTTCAAATATATGGGTCAGCCTCAACATGCATACATGTACATGTATTAGTACAGTAACTTGTTAAATGTTGATGGAAATATTGAGACACATAATATACATTAATATATAACTGTACAGGACAAAAATTATTAGCTGGTCTGGTATTGTGTAGTTCCAGAAAATATCCATACCTCCCCCATGGAAGGGAATTTTTCTAAGTCCCCCCCACCCCTCTCGAAATTCCATTTGAGCTTCATACATTTTAAATTTTTTGGTCTTACAGAACCCCCCACCCCCCAGGAAATTCCAACACCTTCTGTGGGGGGAGTATGGATATTTTCTGGAACTGAACATTGGTAGAGAAGATCTTTGCAGGCAAGAAGGACGTTTTGTAATTTTATTGTAGTTTTGTAACAGTTTTAACTAGTTTGTTTATAATGCAAAAACTTTTCATAGGCAGTCAGACAGTATAGTACACCTGTAGGTCAGTCAGTCAGTTAGTCAATCAGTCTATGAATTTGGTCATGATATTGATTCGACTGACAGAATTCAAGGAACTCACTAAACAATAATGAATGCAAGAAAACATTACATGTATTTCATCTCTGCTACATAATCAACAACAGGCCCCTACCGGCAACTGTGTCTGTACCTGGTCGGCTGACTTCTTAGGCTGCATGTATGTGAAGAGGCAATACTTAACCAAATTATATTGTATGTGTTTCTACTGTTAGGTGGTCAAGAAATTCACCCCAGAGGTTACACATGTGGTATGATGACAGCATTAACCTTTTTTAGTAATATACTTTTGATAAATAAATAAAGAAATAAATTTACCAGATTTAGAGAGGAAGTCACATCAGCCTCAGTTGGTTCTCATGCAGGTTCTCTATCTTGGTCAAATTGGATTTTGGAGATGTGGTTTTTGTGGAGGGAGGAAAACCAGAGAACACAGAGAAAAACCCTCGGAGCAAGGCGAGAACCAACAATAAATTCAACCCACATACAGTGTATGGCTCTGCGCGGCAATTGAACCCGGGCTTTATTGGTGGGAAGCAAGCACTCTCACCACTACCCCATTCTGGCTCTCCAATAATATGGTCATTTGATATCTTATTACAGTTGCTGAAGCAATGGTGGTGTAATGGTCTAATCATTTACTCATTAGTTACACACTAGGTCCGAGTATACAATGTAGTTATCCAGTGTTTCAATCCTTTTAGGGAAAATGCAGAACTTTTCGCTAACACTACATGTACCTCTCTCAAGTAAGGTGTAAAAGATAGCTACATCTACAAAATTTTGTACCATATTCCCTTTATCGATTGCCACCCTCATTTAATTGAAATACACACTGTACAATGTACTTACATGTAGAATACACGCATACACTGTACTTACAGCTCCACCTTTGAAATCTGGGACCATGGGTACTAAAGGCATCCACAATCCAGTGTCGATTGATACCCTCAATTGATAACCTCAATTGACCCTCAATCAATACTTGATCAACACTCCATCGACACCTCATTTGACACTTGCTCAACACTCCATTGACATCTCGGTTGACAGTTGATTAATTTTCGATGGATTCATATGATTTGGTTGACACACAGACGAGTATCGACCGACTCTTGATCAAGTGTCGATAGAGTGTTGACCGAGTATCCATTGGGATGTCAATTGAGTGTCGATCGAGAGGTCAATTGAGGGTATCGATTAAGAGTATTGATCGACAAACATGCCCAGGATGCCTTTAGTACACATGATCCGAAATCTGGCATTTACATGTATCTGTGACAGTGATTGCATGTTTATTAAGTGAAAACCAATGTTTTACTATTGTGGTATTTGTAACCTGACAAATTAGAGTGCTTCCACAGGGATACCTACACAAGACGTCATCCAACTGTCTCAGTAAATGCACAGTGTACTACATGTAATATCTCCAGGACCTGATACTTACACTGCACATGTAGAATTGGACATTTAATAACACCCTTTAATAATCTCTAAACAGATCTTTAAGGATGGCAAAAAGACAACGCGGGATAAGGCGATAAAGAAGGGTATCCACCTGGTGTCAGTACTTTGGGTGGAGAGCTGTCGGCAGAGCGGAAAACATGTATCTGAAGACCTTTTCCCAGTTGTTGAACCAGAGCAGGCTGTTACACCACTTATGGTTGGACGGCTCAAGAGGACAAAATCCATGCAGCCTAAAGCTTTTGAGGAGGATGTTCAAAACAGTGCAGGTAGGACAGGCTCAAATACTTAGAAATCAATGTATTTTTTAAATACGTCAAAATAGAAATTAATTCTAAATTGTACTGAACGATATCTTCTGATAAAATTTAAAATGTGTACAATCTTGATATGATAGTTTCACTTTTGCAAGCTACTGTTTTATAAGCAAACATAGGTGATAATATTGGCACCACAGTATAAATGTATGTACATGTACATCAATTTATTTGCCATAACAATTTGCATAATAATATTGATATTTTATTTATAATGAAGGAAAAGAAAAAGCTAAACTTAAAGAAATTAATAGTAATATTTTTTATTACTGTATATCTCTCAGTTAGTATGCGTGCTGTGATTGGTCAATTTAGCGGGCCATATTCTCCTGTAAGGTCCACTAAAATTTAAAGCTGTTTTTGTTGCCAAAATTTTTCGTGATTTATTGCCAAGTGTTCTTAACTTTTTCAGCAAGTAAAAGTTTTAAACTTTCTTTTACTTCTAAAATTGTGTATTAAAACCTACTAACGACCTAAGAGTCACTTAACGATGATTTGTAATTGAGTCGTTTTGCTTTCGAGGTGTGTCAGAAATTTGAAGCCGTTACGCGTGAATAGAAATCCTTCCCGAGCCTGTCAGACACACAGTAGAGATATAATAAATATCTTACTAACCTCGTATTCTCGGTCCATACTGTAAGTTACGGATCCTCGTGTTCCCCTTCGATTTATGGCCCGCACGCGTCACGCTTGGGCCATAAATCGATGGGGAAAAACTCGGTCCGTAACTTACAGTACGGACCTCGAACTTGGTTAGTAAGAGGTATACATTCAAATAATATAAATCCTATCAAATGGTCATTTGTCTTCCTCTAGACAGGGGAGACAGAAGGAGAAAACGGAAACTACTAGCCGAGAATTTAACTCCAACAGGTAAATGTACCTTGCATGGCATATATACAGTACATTTACTAGATCACAATGATGTGTACCCAAGGCATCTGCGGTTTGAGTGTCGATCGATACCCTCAATTTCAACACTTGATCGACATCTCGATTGACACTTGATGAACATTTTGATCAATACGCGGCCAACACTCAGTGGACACTCAATTGAACTTGATTGACACTTGATGGATACTTGATTGATAGTGGGTCGATAGTTGGTTGAATGTCACCCAATTCATATGTGTCAATCAACACTCAATGGCATGTCTGCAAAAATTAATCAACTCTAGACCAAGAGGTCAATCAAGTGTTGTTTGAGGGCCGATTGAGGGTTTCTATCTAGGGTATCAATCCACACTCGACTGCAGATGCCTTTAGTACACGTGATCCCATTTAGCTGAGGCTAAGTGACCTACATGTACTCTGTCGGGTTATTCTGGTTTGTTTTAATAGCATGGATTGAATAGAAGAGTGAATATGCCCAGTTGTTGAATGTTGCAGTTCCTGTGACATGTCAGAAATTAAAATAATTTGTTCTGATTTTTTTTTTCAGCCATGGTTTTCTGTGCAGAAACTCAAGATCCATACAGCCCAGTAAGTTATACCCGACATTTAGTCTACATTGTAGCCATGGCCCATTATTACTCAATGTGTGCTTTGAAGGGAAACAGGGCCTGAAGAAGATATTTTCTTATATTAAGATTATACATTTACGATAGCACTTTGTTGCCTGGTTTACTAAGTACCCAGCAGTGCATCGCAACATTTTTTATCTAGGGTCATTACATGTACCTGCTCCCTAATGGGGGTGGTCCTTTTTGAAAGGTTTTGCTGTGTTAATAAAAGGATCACGGTTACATGAAGGCCAAAGACTTGTTTCCTGAACCAGGCAAGTGGGAATTCTTGACTGAGGGTCATGGTCCACAAACTCAGCACAGTTAGATCTGTGCTTTAGAAAAAATGTTAACAGGGCTGGACTGCTGGGTTTTTTTTTTAATGACCAGCTCATATCACTCAGTTACATCTTCTATAGGAAGGTTTGCATCAACCAGGCTGAATGGAGGTCTAATTAAAATAATGTGGTTATCAAGAATTTTCTAGGAAAAAAAGAAAAAAAACAGCTATATGTAGCACTGTAATTACTTTCAAGTTTCCCTGCTATAATTCAGTTCCACTTTACCTCATGTGCAGACCCATTTCTATCATTTCTAGTACGTGACTGTATTGTTTGTTGAGGTTTTGAAATTCAGGTGACAGTTTCCTCTGATTGTTAGTTTTTATTGTTTGATGTTATTTTTTCATCAGATTGCCGTCAATCCTCCGCTTACTCCGCATATGGTACCAGACACTCCCTGTCATGAAATACCTTCTCCTTTAACCAAAACACTTAGTTATGGTAAGTTACAGTACCGGTTAAAGGGATTGCAGCATTACACGTGCGTAAAGCGTGTGTACTACACGTAGTGACCTTACACCTTGCACCTTACACGCACCAAACACACAAATACACGCAAATGCGTGTAACTGATTACACGCAGAAGACTTAATATTGCAGTAAAATTACACGCAGTTGCAGTCGTTAAACTGGAAATCATTAAGTGCATGTAAATGTAATTCAATAATTTATCCTCCCTCTCTTCTCTTCATAAACAGGTTAACTGGAGTTTTCTTCAGCTTAACCAGAGTGCTATTTAGGCTCACCTACCTCTCCCCCATCACAGTCTCCTCTCCTGCATTAAGGCTTGTCCAAGCACAAGTACTAAAATACTAATAAGCACAAATACTACTACTACCACTACTACTAATGATACATGTGATGGTATTGAGTGACATTTTTGTTTTAGAATTGGTCTGATGCAAGCCAAAGGGAAATGTGATTTTGTGACAGTAGTTTGTTCCAGTGACATTACCGGTATTTCATATTTCACTGAGTCATTAAGCCATGAAAGGATGTTTTGGATGTTGCCTGAATTTGTCAACAGTAACACAGCAAGTAGTAGCTCAGCAGCAAATAATGAAGAACCAAAGCTACACTATTAGTGCTCAGTTTTGATTTAAGGGACACCTCCCGAAAGTATACACGTGGTGTCTATCAGCAAACCCCTGTGAGCTTAACTAACTTAACTTGTACTATTTATTATGACGTAGGTGGAGACTCTCCAAAAGAACCAATTGAATCTGACTGCAAAGAAACTGACCAATCACCAGACAGCAACCAAGATGTCCCATCAAGCATCAATAAACTGAAAAAAAGGCTCCTGAAGTGCACACCATCCCGATTACCCACCCCACCCGCGGAACAAAAGAAGACGCCAGCAGCTCAGATAAGAAAAACGCCTACGGATGTACTGCTCACAGGTAAAAGTTTGTCCAGAGGTGGTAAATCTAGATCAGTTTTAGGAAAATTTGAGACAAGAAGCCCCAATGGTTTGTACATGTATGCTTGACTCTGGATCTGTGCTCTGGGTTACGTGTAGATCCCTGGTTGGGGTCATCGTAATGGGTTCTTGTGCAAGGCAATATTATTCAACCCGGAATAAGCAATGGCAGTAGGGACCTCGACGCAGACCTTACTTACCCCTTAACGGCCTTTTTTGGTGTACGTCCTGCGTTTAGAATCATCAAATACATGTATTACTTGATGCCTGCGACTATTTTTAGCCAGGCGAGTGTAACATGTCCAATGTACATGTAAACTGACAGGAAGCATCCACAGTTATGCTAACCTTTCGCTTGTTACTAGTCTCCCAGCGTACATGTCATGACAGATGCAGGGTAAATTCAACGAGAGTTGTTTCGTATCTTGTTATCTATAAAAAAAACGGTTTTCTCGTTTGCTTTGCTTTAGGATTACTACGCTAAGTAATTGGCCCAAAAAAAAAATGCCGCGCCACTTTGTCATCCAATCAGGAGTAAAACCCAAAACTAATCGTGACGCGTTCGCTCACGTTTTCCCNTGTGAAGATAAGGAGGAAGGTGAGGCCATTATGAAGAGCAGTGCTGTGAACGGAAATGGAGGAAAACGAAATGTCGCGAGGAGTGTGAGAATAACCAGTGAAGAAGGTCGATCTGAGGACGATGATGCTGATGTAGAAGAGGAGACATGTACAGAGGAAGATGTACAACGATCCCACGAGGAAAATAAGCCGAGAGCTGAAAGAAAACAGCGAACCAAGCTTGTGAAAAAAGTCAGGGTAAGGCCAAGTTAACATTAGTCACAGTCAAACTGAATGACAAAAATGCTGTGAGTAGAAAAGCCTCATTGAAAAATCAACCTTCTTGTTAACCCTGGACCAACTTGTTGTCCTCTAATTAAACAATCGGAGCCAAATACTGCAAAAAACTATGCGAAGATGTCATTTGCCGGTGGAAGGCTGCGTTAAAATTCAAGGATTCAGGATTCCGAACCGCTTAGACGCTTGAGAAACAAAAAAATGAAAGCATATATTCTCTCAAACAAAATTCCCATTAGCGGTTGATGTGCAGCTACCACTGTCAGACCATGTATTGGTACTGTTGTGTACTAGCCGATTATTGAAAAAGGCTCGTACCAAATCTGAATTTTGTAATGACTTTGTTCAGTTCATTAATGTTCCACAGTGTCTGTTTATCTTTGACGTAGTGTTTCTGGGTATATGATTTCTGTGAATAAAGAAACAAATTGTACCGTTCTCATCATTTTTTCTTCTTGCAGCCCAAACGATCGGTAGTTATGACAAGTATGCATTTTGGGTAAGCAATTGTTCCTCTACTTCTTTCTCAAATTTTTGCTGGAAGCTTTCTCCTCACCTTTTATTCGCACTGTTATACTCTGTAATGTGCTTGATTCTGTTATCTGCAACACTGTGTTATTCCAATCAGTCATGTTAAACGTTTATACTTGTTTTCTCTTTCAGTGAGCAGGATATCGTTCTATCCGTTGTCCGCAAGTTGGGAGGATTTTTCATCGAAGATCGAGTCTCGTCCTCCACTAGTCACGTGATCGCTGGAAGTCCTCGCCGAACGTTGAACGTCCTAATGGCCATTGCTCAAGGATGCTGGCTTGTATCGCCTATGTGGGTAAGGAAGCTATGAAATGCCTACACCACTTTAGACATACATGTAGAACACGAGTGCATCGCTTCAACAGGGTTGATCGTGCACGCGGGAAGGGTGGGTGCATGCAGGAAGTTGTGTGGAAGCACGACTCGAAACTTTCTTGTGTTTGGTCTTTTCGAAACGTCTTTCGTAATCCCATGTGCCAAAAGGGGGTTAGGGGAGGATGGGGGTCACAACAACTTGATTCACCGTTGCTTAGTGAAAATGCCGTAATGTTTTCCGTCTGGCCTCCCTTTAGATTTCGAAAGTTTTGGAATACATGTACGATGGACCAACGTTTGATTCAAGTTGAACTTTCGTACAACATCTTCCAACAAGTTTCATCATGTCTCGTTAGTCAGACCATCATGTCACAGCAACGTTGAAAGAAATTGTTATAGAGTACAGAAATTAAGAACTTGCGTTTATTTTACAGATGATGAAATCTCTAGAGGTCGGTTACTGGGTGGATGAAGAGCCCTACGAATTATCGGACGCATTTCCTGCAGCACAGGTAATCAATGTCTGTTTTTTTCGAGTTTGTTTTCTCTGTTAAAGATAAAAAAAACTGGCAAGCTTTGTCTTCCAAGGTCTCCCCAGAAGTCATTTTTAATGCGTTATTTTTTTTTCTGGAAATGAAGCGAAATTCCATCGTGGTGAATGAATATGTTTTCAGTCACAGCCACCCTGCGTAGCAAGCGTTTTCGTTCGAAGAGCGTTTTTCCAAATTCTGGCCTCGCGGAAATTGGAGCGTGTGAAAAAATATTGACGAAGCAGGGGACCCGAATCGTCAGTTTTCTTTAGATGGGTCCATGATACGCCAGACCACTTAGAAGATATTTTGAAGTTTTCTGTTGAAATAACTTAATGAATCGTTTTTTGTTGTCGTTGTTTTTCATTCCCTGTACTTGTCAGCTTTGCCGTCTTGAACGTGTTAGCGCTGGGTCAGGTTACCACCAGGAGCTGTTTGTGGAGTGTCCACCGATATTTGTCTCCGAGAATTGCTCCCCTCCAAGCGACTCACTGATGTCCTTGATAAACCTTTGTGGTGGAAAGGTAAAGCAGACCGTAGCGTCTCTTAGCTTAGAGAGGTTTTATGACTATCGTATAAGTAAGACCACTTAATAATTACTTTTGGCCAATTACAGAAAATGTAAATGACTGAGTGAACCAATCACAATTCCAATTAAAAGCATGCAACCCGTGCAAAGCGCAGGAAAACACGTGTAAGGCAAGTTGCGGTTGGTTTGGCTTCGCTCTTGAATGGTCGAAAAAAAAACCAACCCTGTTTTATCTCTGCGCGTTTTAAGGATAAACCAATTGGAAAGCTCAGCCAAGATACACCAAACAAATGCTCTCTGCAGACAATCGAAACCTATTTCGACTTTTCAGCTGATTTTTTAAGCGTCAGTCTCACATCAAGAGATCGCAATTGTTGTCGTTTTCTTTTCTCGTAACCCAGGTTAGTACCTCTGTGAGAAAGGCAGGAATATGCATTGGTTCAATGACAAGAAGAACACAAGCGGTTAATATCACGGAACAGTGGCTTCTCGGTGAGTCTTGTCAATCTTTCAGTCTCAATAAGCTTATCCTAGACAGCAAAACATACATCTATTCCTGTGCAGAGTACATTTGTAGGTTGCTAGGTAACACAGCCCATGGTGACAGGTATCTGGACGTGTCGAAGCTAATGTGGCACTCTCAAGGAGACCACATGCACGTAAAGAGACGACATGCACGATGTGTGTGGTCGCAAGAAGAGTGGGCTTTAGAACGAAAAGGATTATCTAGTGTGCGTGTTGTGAATTTGAAGCAACCTTTAATTTTTAAAGTGCTGCATCGCGGGAGTCGTTTATGGAGACAGGCAAATTTAATAGCTAAAGTAAATTGGATACTAGAACACCAGGAAGGACGACATCTCGCATTTCAACTTTAATAAGATTCTGTTTTCGAGATGGATGTCTCCCTTTCTTCTTCATCGTACCCCGCCCCTTCATGGCTACCCAATGCATTGTCTGAACAAGTAAGTAATTATTCGCAGACAATTTAAATTTGTAGAATGTATTCGAATGTATTCTAGCGAACAGCTGAAGGACGAAGCGGAAACGCTTTTTTTCTTTTAGATTGTATAACCCAGCACGATGTTCTGCCTTATACCAATTACGCACTCAATTCCCCGGCGAAGCGAAGACGAGAAACAAGTCCCAGCTACTGAAGACAAATCTCGCCTTTCAAAGTTTCACCAATAAGTCGGTTCGGCTTCTCGCAGCGAGTCTAGAGTCCAGTTGGTATGTCACGCTGCTGAAAGCACTGCTAATGCTTGGCGTGGACGTTGTTACTTTGCAACGCTTGTCAAACATATCACGTGGTGATATCGTTACCGGGCAACGTCTGGTTGGATTTAATTGGTTGCAACATCAGGTCGATTAAACTTCATGTCAAATTTAAGTGAAGGTTTCAATGGTTTATCTTTTGGAGGTGGAGCGCAAACAAATGAATTTATCTCCTTGAAAAAGCTTAGTCTGTGGATGGCTTTTCAAGAATCTAGTCAACAAATTACTCTGTACAGCGGACATTTCGATTTTGAGAATATCGATTTCGTGGTTCTATAAAATTCAACCCAACTATTGTAATCGGAATACGTCGGAATTTGTTGGCTGGGTTCAGAAGCTTTCGTTTTACACAGAACTGCGTAATGCTAAGTACATGAAATACTCTCTGCGTGTCTAAGCTATTGTAATCAGTTTTCAGGAAACATCAGTACGTAATATAGAAATAGATATAACAGATTTTGAAGTCAAATCCATGGATAGCAAAATTTTTAATCAGTAATAGACGAGAAACTGTTTTAACCCAGATAGTTTTCATTGTATCATTAAAGACACCAATCTTATCATGAGACTTGGCTTGACTTAGTCCTCTTTGCCCCTCGTAAGACATAGGGCTACCACCATCGCTCTCCATAGGACCCTGTTATTCGCGTTCTTCTCGGTCTCACCCCATGTCTTCCCGATGTTATCCAGTTCCTTTGTCACTGTCCGTCTCCACGACTGTCACGGTTTTGGTCTTTCCTGTTTCCTTTTACCTTGAGGGTTCCATGCCATGGTCATTCTGGTGGTGTTTTCTCTCTCGTTCTTCAAGGTATGCCCAATCCATTTCTTCTCGTTCAGTTCTTGCCCACGGTTCCTCATTGGTGATGACATCTGGCCCAAACGATACCGAGAATCTGGCAGAGTTATGAGAATTAAGGGGAGGGGTGAATAGGGGTATGCAAATCCGTCGATCCGTGCCTTTTTTTTTTTTCACCAAATCCGTCGATCCGCCAATATTTTTGTTCAAATCCGAAACTACAACCACATCCAGAAACAGAAGTGTAAAGATCAAAGGTGAACTGGTAAATGTGAATACCATTGTTAACTTCGCACAAATAGTAACGAAGGCAACATGCTTGATGACTATATCACATGCAGTAAAATTCCAATAACAGTCTCACACCTGAGTTTAAATGAGCTTCGTTCGAAAAAGGAATAACTTTGATGAACTCATTAACATACCGACCAAGGCTGAAGAAAGATTTGTAGGACCCAAGATCCAAACATCAAGACAAGCACAATCCGGAATCCGCGCCAAAATTCACAGCTGATCCACGATCCACTGTGTTTTCAAAATCCGCGCATCCGCTCGATTTACCGCAAAAATCCACAATCCGTGCGCTTTTTGAGGCCAAATCCGTCGATCCGAAAACCTATTCACCCCCCTCGTTAAGTGCTTTTTTTTTTCTTAATTTCCCGTGCGTAAAACGAGTTTTGAGGAAATAACGCCTTAACCTCCTCACCCCTCCCCCTCCACATACTATGACAAGTAAAAGAAAAAGAACAAACGCACACACAAAAAAA